TTTTATTTCTTTTGCCAGATTTGACAAAATCATTTTTTTTATGACACATTTAAGGAGATCTTCTTTTCCTAACCAATAACAGTTTACAAAAAGTCAATTTTTATTTAAAATGTAGATTTCATGTCCATCCTGTTACACTGTTTTGTCCATCCTGTTACTGTTTTGTCCTTCCTGTTACCCAACTCATTACTGTTACCAGTAAAATTGGGAGTTTAAATTGCTTTGGCAGAGCACCTGTTTAAATAACTTTCTGTAACTGTTTATCCTCATTACGAAAGCCGGATAGGCTCATTTCTGAGAAGATAAAAAAAAATTTAACTCGTTATAACGAGTTAGTTATCTCGTTATAACGAGTTAGTATCTCGTTATAACGAGTTAGTATCTCGTTATAACGAGTTTTTGTTATAACGAGAAAATTAACTCGTTATAACGAGTTAATTTTTCTCGTTATAACTAGTTAATTTTCTCGTTATAACTATAAATATATCTAAGTGATAGGAAGTATAGTATAGCTACGAAATATAAAACCGAGTTTGTTAAGGTTTCGTCAAAGGTCAACATGTATAAAAAATTATTTTTACAATAGCTCCAAAATCATGTGTCGTATAAAGTCAAAACGTTTACAGTTTATAAATATATCAATGATTAATAGATAGAAAGTATCACTTGATAACACATATTTTTAAAAAGATATTTTTTGAGAAAAATTGTATCAGAAAATGTGCTTATTTAAAAAAAATGCACCTGCTTAATTCTGTCTTTTTTGTGAAAACCATCATTGCAGAAATAATATATGTTTATCATTGAAAAGTTGAAATCCAATGGTCTCTGAAGGCTAGTTATTGAAAGCATGACATGTATAAAGACAAGACCCCTATGGCTTTACAATGTACTTTCACTTTCAAGATCTTTTTTTGGACAAAATAAACAGAAAACAACTTTCCTATATATTTCTTCAATGTAAACATATTTTGTTTCTGCAATAATGGTTTTCACTAAGAGCGCAGAATTAATTAGGTGTATTTTTTGAAAATATATGCATTTGTAAGAAGTAGTTTTCTCAATTAATACTTTTTCCAAAAATTTTTTTATCAGGTGATACTTTTGCTGTTTATTAATGACAAATCTATATTTTTAAACTTTATACCTCACATAGTTTTGGGGCTATTGTAAAAAAAATTTTTGGACATGTTGACCTTTGACGAAACCTTAAGTTTGTTTATAGTTTGTTTATAGTGTGTATGATAAAGATTTTTATTGAAAAAATTTAAACTAGTTTTTTTTTCCTGGGGTGTGCCTCCCCATATTCTGTTTCCTGTATAAACATGCAGTCTGATGTGTATTGTATACCTAAAAGACCGAAGACCAAATACATGTTCATTAACGGAAACTTATGACTCCTCTTGATGTGTGTTATGAGGGCGTAAGCCCTTCATTTTACGCCCAAATGTCTCCATATCCCCCTTCTTCAAACATTTCTGACTCTCAAAATAATATATATCACAGTAAGTTGTATATAATATATGTTGCATTAACGCCTGCGTTAACTTCCTATTATAATGTATTAATTTAGTGTACTAAGACATTGGTTATGAAAGCTAATAAGTCATCCAAAATGTTATCAGAAAAATTCAGGTGAGCTTTTAAACCATATTGCAAATTAAAATTGCAACTTTTTATCAATTTTAAAGTGAAGTATGACTGATAATTATCAACTAAACATCAATGGCATTAAAACTACATTCATTTTTAATTCCCTCTCTTATATCAAGTTGGCAATTAACTCCAAAATTGAAAATAAAAAGCTCGTTAACAATAATATTTTATATCTGTCATTTGTTAAAATCGAATAATTAATTCGTTATATAGATAATTAAATTTTATAACGAGATAATAACTCGTTATAACGAAAATTAACTCGTTATAACGAGATAACCGTTATAACGAGAGAACTTCAATTTTATAACGAGATGCAACTCGTTATAACGAGATAATTAACTTGTTATAACCAAAAACTAACTCGTTATAACGAGATACTAACTCGTTATATAAGCTTCGTAATAACGAGATAAAACAGTCGTTATAACATTTTTTAACTCGTTATAACGCGCCGAATTATCTCGTAATAACGAGATTCTATCGTTATAACGAGATAACTAAGTCGTTATAACGAAAATGCACTCGTTAAAGGCTATTTTATGTATTTTCCATAAATGAACATATATTTCAAGATTGAAAAATAATTTTATTTAGGATTTTTTTTCATCTATGCATTTTTTATCCATTCCGCAATAAAACTTTTCATCTCTAAAAACTTGATTTTTGCTTTGTTTGGTATATGGTAGTTTGACATGCTTTTAAACGCTCATATATTGATTTTCAAACATCTTGGCATTCAGTGATAATTTTTTCATTTATTAACGCTATACAAATAGATAATTTGATGAAAATTTTGAAATTTTTACAGCTCTTTTTATGAAAGTCAACTTTTTAAAAAAAAAAATGTCACATTTTTTAAAAGAAATATTTTCTTTTATGCAATGCAGTGCTTTTAGTAGTTTATTACTTTTTTCAAATAAAGTTGAAAAAATCATAGTAAAACCACTTTCATTTTTCAAAATATGTAATTCAAAAAATAGACTTTTTTTGAAAATGACCCATAAATATCTTTTCTTAGACATCAATCACATGTCTGATCATGACATGAGAAAAAAATGCCTTATACCTTGATTTTTTATGATTAATTTCTGTAGGCACAACTCGTATTTTCAGGTGACAAACATCCTGTGCTGCCCACTACAGAGATCCTGAAAACATGCACCATTAAATGACGTCATTACCATCTCAGTGGAAAACAAATTACGAAAAAGTCTATACTCGAGTGGGATTTGATATCCAGTGATTGAGAGAAAAACTTTCGTTGATGACATTTAAAGGCGATTACAGCATTTACATGTCAACGGATCCGGAGGAACGAAGTGGAAAGAACGGATGGATTCAGCTAGATTTAGACTATCTGCACAGACACTGAGACAGCACCAAAGAAAAATGGTTACAGCAGGGAAAAGGTCAACGATGACTGGAATCAATAGCAGATGCCATTGAGAGAATAGAAACTTCTGCGGACAGAGCCACTGCAAATGCACCAAAGACAAAAAGATCAAGATCTATAGATACGCCAACAAAAAAGTGAAAAGACTAGAGCGATGCAACCAGGGAGAAGTCATAGACCAGCTGGTAGTGGAGACAGAAGAGGCAGCAGGAAAGGGAGTATACGCCTATACGGGAACGTTTACAAGACCACCCAGTGTGTGTAGGTCAATGACACACGAGGACTTACCAAGGACAGACTGGAAAACCCATCGACAACTGAGAAAGACAAGGAAGCAGGGTTGGCTGTACGTAACCAACTAGCTTCGTTCGACGAATCAGCATACATTCCAGAGTCCACTGAGAAACTAGCTGAAGATATCGATCAACCAAGGAAAGAAGAAATAGTGGCTGTCTTAGAGATCCTTAAGAACAAGTCAGCAGGACAAGGAAACTCTTTTCCAGAATTGTCAGACTCTGAAATAGCAAGCATCATTCTACAGCCAAGGGTCACTGATAGATGGTACGGAGATAAAAACTAGAGGTACTGTGAGCGATGAGCTCACTAAATGATACCCCCGCCTCCATATAGTTATAATGGCAAAGTCCATGTTTTGCTGTGGCCAGGAAACCCAAAATATGTGTCGTATCAAAAAGTAAAATAGGAGGTGCTTAATGGCAATATGTAATAAAGATTTTGTGAAAGTTTCATCAAATTTCATTCACTGGTATGCGAGGAGTTGCGGATAAGAGATGGTTTACAGACAGATGTCCCCTCCCGCTTTTCGAAAGTATCTGATAAATAGATTGGTTTACCAGATGCCGTAGACGGCTATATCAACTGGAGAGGGATCACCTTGTTTTCCGAGCTGAGCAAGATATGTTAATTATCGAGGAAATTCCTTCTTCTACATCTTGCATCTCGTTATTTGACTTTTCCCCAAATATTTTGATGTTCAGTTATTATATCGCTTTATTTGGAAGTTAAAATCACAACATGAAATTATGAAAACCAAGTTCAGTGCATTATTTTATGGGCGGTATTTTAAGAGCTGCATCTGATCAATCGAAAACGACAAAACATTTTTTGCAGTATTTTCTTGTTTTTTAATTTCAAATTATTTAAAGCTGCATATTCGTTCACCATAAAACCATACATATACACAATAAAACCTCAGGGACACAGATATTCATTTTTTTAATAAGAACCGTGTTACAAATGACAGGATACAAAGAGGCAACACGGACATACCTGGTATTGTAAAGATTGTAAGGCCATGATTTACACACTGAATTGTCAAAGAATTTTCCCGTTATTTCCAGATCATGGCAATGAGCACACAGCGGGTGTGACAAGTTGGCAGGGAATGCTTACTTCTCCATGGCACACGATCCCACCTCTGATGTTTTAAAAGTTCGTGTTTGTTCTGTCCCTGAATTGCATTGTTTAATGGACTTTTGGGCTTGACTGTTTGTATCTCAATATATTTCATTGTCTTCTGAAAATCATAAACTTTATCTGTTTACTCTTGAACACTCGAAATACAATCTAATATGCATTCGTAAAAGGAGTTCTTGGTTAATTGTACTCCTGTACCAAGTTTTATTTGACATTAGACTAACAGCATAATTATAAGGAGTAGCATTTTGAAAGATTTCTATTTCTGATTTTTAAGGAAACATGGGAATTCATACTGATCATCAAAGTTGAAACCAATTAACAGAAATTTATACCATTTGTATAGTTTAATAATTTGCCAATTTATGTCAGGGATTTGAGGCTTGTTTGATAAATCCACAAATGCATTCATTTTATGCCAATTTATGGACAGACATTTAGAGTACTCCTACAAAGCTCAGTCATAACATCAGGTTAATAACCAATGAATATAATCAGAAAACAAGCTCTATATATTCTGTGCAAGTTTTAATGAGAACTTTGGCAGCTTTTACACTTATTTTTTGGTAACATTAATACACCAAATTGTGTTATGTGAAGACAATGGCTGCCTTGGTATACAATATGTCACCAGCCTGTTCACCTTCTAGCATGCTTCTATATGATACAGATAATGAGACAGGAAGATATGCAGACTGGAGTAAAATAATGAAACTCTCGGAAAAACATGGAAAGTTATTAATACCATACATGACTGCTACCAAATACTTATTGGTGGATATTTGAAATGTATATCTTAATGTATCATAAGTTAGTATCTTAAAGTCTGAAGTTAAAATGTATGCCTACAGATAGTTTACACAAACACATGACAGAGCACTAGTAATGGTACATATTAAACCTGTCCACAAACATAACTTGATTCTATTGATCAGAAAAAAATTTACTTTTCAATTTAGGTCTACCACTGTATTCCTTGATATATTAATTAAATTAAAGCACCATAATGTAAGCTGGTAATAACTTTTCGCACGCAGTAACTATAAATAACCTGTCGTTTAACAGATGAAAGTAGATTCTGATTGAAGTAGTATCTAATACAATGTAAGACTCACACTCAGTAAAACATAATATTGCAAATTAATCAATTATTCTCTCCAATGTTTTCTTCCCTTTGCAAAGGGAAAGTGAAGTAGGTTAGAACTGAAGAAAATCGTGTTGGCATCAGACAGGTCTTTTTAAAACATGCAGACATTACATTGTTATAATTTTAATTAAATAATTTCTTTAATAATAGATTTTGTTGGACCATTTAGATTATACTTATTAGGTACAACCTTTCATAAAATGATATACATATACAATAAATTATTATCCTATAACTTATGAAGTTAAACAAGAATTCTAATCAGGTATATACCCACAGCATAGGTATGTTTCCATATATACCAATTAGAGATAAGTTCCATCACCAGAATTTTGCAGTATTTTTTTTTTTGGACAATATGAATGGCTTCAAGGCTGAAATCTTAATAAAGCCTTCCTTGATAAGTTTCAAAATTAGCAAGTAATATGGACAATTAAGTTGCCAATTTCTTCTTCATCCATTTCAAAGACTCCATTTATTCCAATGCTGAAGTTTGATATGCAGAAAATCTTTGAAAGATTTTGAAATAGTAAATTAGTATCTAATTGCAGTTTAAGCCATTTCAACAATGAAATGCAAAATTCACAATTTCCCGTTTGGTGTAAAATATTTTAGAACCAGCAAATTTAATTGTTTAGTTTTTTTTGACAAAAAAAAGTCAAAACCAAATATAAAAGCAACATCCAACTAAATCCTGTGTTTCATTAGCATAACAGATCTGAATGATAAAATCTGACAGATTCCTAAATTTTTTTTGTTTCCTGAATGTTGATTGGAAGACACATTTATTGAAATTCATTCCAATCTACTCTACACAGGCTAACATGCTCTATAATAAGTTTCTGAAATATAAAAAGTGATTGTTTTATTCTGTAGTGTTTGTCAAATGGTAGACCAAGACTTTGAACATTGTTGGAGAATAATAAAATTTAGCTAACTTTGGTCAGATATCATATTTTCACTTACAGAAAATCTTTTTTTTTGCTTTGAAATATGTTTGGCAAGGTTACTAACTAGTGACTAAAATTTAAACAAAAAATACACCAATTTATGGACAGAGCTGTTCCAAGAACAGCTAAATGATTTTCTGTTGAAAATACATCAACTTGATAAAAACTCTAACAAACTCTCTACATTTTAACACATTCAACAAAACATACAAAATCTGACAAGAATTCCCAGTAAAACAATTTTTATAGCAACTACCTACTACTAACTGATGTATAATAACAAGTAAAAAGATTGTATATACTTCATTGTCTATATAATGACGAGGGTGGGGGATAAAAAGATTTACTGTCAATGACTTCCTGGTTCATGAAATCAATTACAAGTCTGTAAACAAAGTTAACATCAACATGCGTTTACTTGTCAAACAATACATTGCACACCATGTCCTGATAGTAATATACAGAGACAGCCTTACAGTAACTCATGCATGTATCTGACGGGGTATATTTACATTATATACACCATCATATTATTATTGCATCAACAATATTTTACTTATCACACATCAGATGATGTACCTATTTATATATACATATTTCTACTTGTCTGTAGATATACTTGTACTAAAGTACCTGATGCATGTCACAAACTAAAATCTCACATCCCATTCATTAAGTCAATAAAATTATACAATAAATGTAGCATTTTTAAAATTGATTTTAAACAAAAATTCTTTTTATAATAATAAACAAGATGAATTTTTTTTTTCATAGAACCTACTTAATTTTGCTTCACAATCAACAATGGAAGTCTTTGGAGAGTAAATTTAGTGGTTGGTGCCTGAAATAATCTGGATCTGTAGCTATCAACAGCAACTGGTGGAACATTTTCTCATGGTTGATCAGCTGTTACTATCAAATTCAAATTTCCCAGAATTTTTCAAATCTATGTAATCTCTGTTAATGATAATTTCAGAAGATGAATTTTCCGATTAGAAGTCCTAAAATGAACGCGATCACTAGGTATACAATGGGGGGAAGGTTTGGGATGGCCTGTTGTGCGGGTGCGGGTGCACTAGATGAGGGAGGGGAGGAAACTGTATCTTTAATTGCTACTTTTCTCAGCCTGACCTCCGTTTCCTGCAAAAGAACAACTTAAACGTAATAACATGCATATACAATGTACCTAAATCATAACTCTACATAATCTCATGACAAAGAAAAACAATAGAGCAATAATTTGAAAACCTTATTTACAATTAGAATATTATCTTGAAATTCAAAATTTTTCCAAAACCTATGTGCATCAAATATTCTTTTTTATTCTCCCTGTTATCAGGATTAGTGTATTTTAAATCAATGATGACCTTAATACAATGCTACAACTACTGCCTTACTAACAACAGACTTAGTCAGATTACCTTTAACTTTGCGTTTTCTTCATTCAATTTTTTCACCTCTGCCTGTAAGCTCTGAAGATCGTCCCCCTTTTTCCCAGGCTCAGAATCCACTATTGATGCCTGAAAGAATGAATTGTACTCTAACAACTCTCAATATCATAGTATGATATCAAAAGTAAGCAATAAAACATGTGCTTAATCCTTAATGTTATGGAAGATGGGTCAAAAAAGTATAGGCATTTTTTTTTATTTAAATTTTTTAAGTAAATGAAGATGGTATCTTGTTATTTGAATTTAAAGTGAGTTACATTTTCTTACTATATCTTTATATGGAAGATTCCTCCATTCTTGATGTATATATTTAAAATCTTCTGATCTAGTGATTTTATCCATTATTTTGTTTTGAAGCAAAAGCATGTTCCAAAAGAAAAGTAACACAACTAAAATATTGCTCAATTTGATATGATGAAATTGTGAAGCAATTATAGTTTTTAAAAAAAATTATCGATATGCATTGAAAAAATTTGATACAAAAATTTTAAAAATCATTCTGTTGTTTTAATAATGGTTCATATATGGATGATTTTCTTAAATTTTTTGAAGGATTTTTTTTTAAAATTTCAAACATATGCATTTTACTAAATCTGACAGCAAAGGTTAAGTACATAAAATTTTGCTTCACAACCTGGCCAATTAAATTTGTTGCTTGTAGATTACAAAGACAGTGATAGGCATTTGCACAGATAACTTACACACTTTATAGTTCTTATTAATAAATTAAATTAATAATGCATTAAACCCATCACTCTCTTTAAGCTGAGGTAAAGTGAATAAGGTAAGTACATAAGTGGGTGGTGAGGTTTCTAACTGGACTTGTTTGACAGGTTTGCTGGAAGCTGGTTTTTCTTCTGACTCTTTTACCTGCTGAAAATAACAAAACAGGGTGTGCATAATAAGGCTATATAAAATTGAAATCTTGGTTCTCAGGCCAGCGCGCATCCGTTTTGAGGTAGCCGCATTGCCGATTTTATTGTATTTTTGAAAAAATAAAAAGTAGGTATTGCGGAGACCAATCCGGGAAAAAAATTCCGCCCTCATTTGTTTCGTAGTTTAGTATTCAAATATCACTTCCGGTAGCTATTTACAATGAGATTTTGGCTACTTCGTTTGAAAATACATTCGAGGACATTACCTACGATGTTTACACGCTGTTAAGCAATGGATAAGGCAGAGAATTTGACCAGAAATGGAAAGTATATCTGTGATTAAAAAAATTATCTTTATGTTAAAGAAAATTCGGAAATTAAAAATAAAAAAAAATACCTCCCTCATCTACTTTATTGCCAATAAAATTAAAAATAAAATGCCGCCCTCCCGCATCTGTTTTGGAGAAAATTGGCCTGAGAACCAAGGAATTAAATTTAGATAGCCTAATATCTATCTTCACTAGCTCATAATATGGGAGAAATATGTATTTCAGTGAGGAACATTGAAGGAGTGAAATTTTCTGTTTGAATAAAACGTTTTGAGCTTTCTTTATAACCTTGCTTTTCACAATTACATGCCTATTTCTTTGGAAAGGAGAAAAATGGTTTATTGTATAGGCAAGGAAAATGCCAGTCTGTTCTGAGAGGCTTAGAGTTTACATGAATTTTACAGAAATGGGAAGTTTATCTGTCATAATCACTCTCTTCTAACTTCATAAAATTCCCATTTCAGCTAAATTTGCTTTGCTTTTGTCTCAGAAATTAGGGTGAGGTAAAACATTGTGATGAATATTGCCTTCTCCTTTCACTAATATAATATAACCTAAGCTATGAAGAGGAATGTAATATTTTCTACATGTCTATAATCATTTTCAAAACCTACTAATTCTAACACAAGGAAAATGTGCTACTTCAGTAAGGTATAATACGGTTTTAAAATTAATAGGGTGTTGAAGAATTTTTTGTCTTGATTGACAATTGTGTGCTAAGAAGGATCCCTTACCTTTGTCACGGGCCCGTGACTACTGTCTGCAGGCATTTCAAAAACACACTTTAACTTGGAGTCCATTAACTTGTCTGGAGTTGCCTCCTTCCACTGAAATAAACAACACCGCAGTAAAATTCCAACTATTTTTATGCCTACAACTAGTCTTTCGTTATCTCGCCTCACATGATTAAAAAGTACAAGTCTACATGTTATGGCTTTTACAGAATATCCACTGTGTTTCTATCTCAGCTTCATCTCTGCAATGAGGTCTTATTAATTTAAAGTATTAGCTTATTACAGCAATACTAAATGTAAATGCTTTATGCAAAATTTCTATTCACAGGGCTCTCGATTCTCTAAAATTGGGGCCTAAAAAAAAAAAAGGTACCTTTTTTCCCAAAAGAAAGGTGTAAATTTCCCAATTTCCATCCAGATTAAAATATTTATAATTAAAAAATAAAAGTCCATCAAACCTAATTGCAAAAAAAAAAAAAAAAACCCAAACAAAACACATCTGCAAATGAAAGTGAAACTGTACTACTATTTTATTAGTAGTTCGCGCCAAATGCATTCGTAAACTGGTTCGGGGAACCAGGTTATTGTTTTTACAAAAATGTATACAACTCTGAGTGCAGAGTATCTGTGTTTTCAACAAAAACCAGACATTTCATTTAAACATTAGTGGCTGCACCTAAAACATACCCGCGCTTCGGCATGTTCAGCATGACTGTATTGGTAAAAAAAGTTGCCCATGTGATCGAGGAAATTAATATGTTACTAACTGTCAAAATATATTACATATAACCGCAATATCATAACTCAAAGATAGTAATGACAAAGCTAATGTACTTTCATAAATAGCCTACGTAAAATGTTTGTTCTGTTTAACTGTTTATTCAAACCAGAGTTAGCATTGATGATAAAATGCTAGAAAAGCAAAATTTGATGATATTTTTTTTAATGAATTTGTGTTATCCAACTTTTCCCAAAATGACGATAATTTTCCCAATTTGAACGGCCCCGGCCCCAGTCCCAAAAAGTGGTGTGAGAGCCCTGATTCATTGAGATTTTTTTTAAGATTGGCCTAAAAAAATAAATTCAAAATAAAAATGTAGCCTCTGATGTATTGTGCATGGTATACAGATTATATAGGGACTTTCCAACTGTTCCTAACTTTCAACAGAACCAAAGCCCTGCTGTTTGGGGGGGGGGGGGATACCAGATTATTTTGGGACTTACCAGCTGCTCCTGACTTTCAATAGGACCATCGGGAGCAAACATTGTTTGAACCATGAATTTGTGTTTATTCTTTTCTTGTGGGTCATAATCAAATGGCTGTAGCATGACTGTAATGAAAAAAAAATAACATCTGATTACCAATAATTAATAATCTAAACATCAAAATATATTAATAAATTGAAAATTGATATAACTCTAAAACAAAAGAAAACATGACCTTAAAATGCACTAAAATGAAACTTAAAATGATCATTATTAAAAGTACATTTTTCAGCGTGGTATTAATTTACGCTTTGTATGCGCTCACAAATTTTCCAAGGAAATTTGTCCAAGCGTACTTAATATAAATGTTAGGCATATAGTGATAGTCTAGGAAATCCGCATAAATTTCTCCAAGCGGATTCAACAGAAATTAAGATTCTACGGAATCATGTCCCATGGAAAAAAGTACGTCTACAGTATGAATATGTACTTCCAAACAATGAAAAAAGAATTGGTTTCCTTTAAAATTAAAACAAACAAAATCCCATATGCAGACATCTAAATGATCAGGATTATCTAAGAAAAACTTACCTGCCACACTGACAGACTGATTCGGCTCAATGATGCCACTATTGGGTCGCACACAGTAGCGCTTTGGTGCTGTAGTTTTCACTTTGAAACATACTCGTTTTTCCGAGGGATTTACCAACTTCAGTTCAGCAGTGACCACATCCGTAAAAGGGCCTAAACAGCATATAAATAAATACAGATTACATCACTTATTTCTGCAAATTTATCCAAAGGAAACTTCCCAACTTCTTTCATACAAGAGGCCTATAAGCCACATCGCTCATCTGAGTAACTTTGGAAATGCCACTCTTTACCAGATCCCCCTGCCTTGCAAGACCTATTGTTAACCTGACCTACCACAGGGGTCATAATTTGAACAGACAAAAGAAGTATCTGCGCTCGCCGTGACGGTCGCAACATCAGCATATCATTATCAGTGCATTTATGCAGTACTGTAAGCTCATGTGATTGTACGTTTGGATCATGATTATTTTTCTAAACCTGCTCATCGTTATATCTGAATAAAAAAACTGAGTTTATAATTGTAAATGTATGGTTAGTTGACTAGTGTGTGTGTAATATACATGTACAATGCACTTACATGAAGTACTAAATTACTGTTTCGAGTAGCACCTGAATGTTTCCAATCAAATGAAACGTATAGAATAATTTCATTAATGAATAATTTGTAAATAAAAGGTAATTTACTAAATATTTCGAGAACATAAGTGAACTCTAGTCTTTTAATTCTCTTGTGGGATGGGGTCAAATAGCATAACGCCACTTTTTATCAATTTCAACACTCTTATACCTTGGATTGCTTACCTCTGAAGCGCAATTCGTTGTCTGGCTCTAATTTTAAAACCTGTTCTGTTTTCGCCATCGTAGCTGATGAAATGGCCACGTATTACCCTTTTTAAGATGTATCAATTTTATTCTCCCTTGTCATCTGCCAAGACGATTTCGTGTACTGAGCCTGCGCAATGAGATAATTCATTAGAAATTTTTTAACAAAACGAAATTATTCAGATCCCGATGCATTTTAAATATTTAAAAACATTTTTTTTTTTTTGTCAGAAATGAAGGACAAAACAGAAAACTGACATGGGAAATAAAATAAAAGATTAATAAAAATGCTTTAAAGGATCTTTCATAACTCAAATGGAATAAAAGAAAATATAGCGGAAATATGAGTCAGATGTCAAAATTAATCGGGATCGAAATGCAAGGGAACGCGGCTTCGGGGCGAGCAGAGCCACATGGCCCAAATGAGTTCGTCTACCTGGTAGCAAAGAAGACGTTGGGAGTAGCCCATTGCGCCGTGCCATTGAAACAAAGTATGGAGGAAAGCTCTAATTTGAAAAGGTTTCTTATTCTTTAATTTTTATCTTTTTATGTTCTTTCAGGTAGAAGATAGCTGGTCACATTATTGGTCCCCTACTAAGGACTAATATGTTGACGGTGCGACCGTTAGGGCGAGCGCAGATACATGTACTTATCCAGTTTTCATTTAGTCAGAATGATCTAACTGTGTCTCGGTACAAGCCCTCACCACAGTTAGAATACGTCCCATATACTTGCAATGTAGCAAATCGGAACGGATCCGCTCCGAAACGATTTTGAAGAATATAAAAGGATTTGCACTGGAAATAACTACCAAATTAATCAAAACAAACCTTTTTGAGATTGCTTATGCCTTTTATCCCATAAAATAATCCATCTAAAGACGGAAATCCAATTAATTTTCTCAACGTTTTTCTCTCGCTTCAAATTTACCTGCCATGTTTACATTCGGAACTCTCTAGATTGTTTGTAGTTAATGCACTGAGTTATAGTGAGTACGAGTTATCGCCCATGTTTCTTTTGCTGCATTACGAATACATGGAACGAATTCTATCGTTAAACTGGGTCCGTAGGACAATATCATTTTAACGATAGAACATTCTATCTAGTTTTCATTTAAATCGGGCTCGTCAAACCGCACGTGACATTCGATCGGCGTCTAAGACTCTGACGTCATATGACATCGTATGCATGTTGAATATATCAAACCAAAGCCTGAGCAGGGCTGATTTTAAATGAAGAACTGTTTTATTAACTATTTTCCTGCAACAAATTCATTAAATCAAGGCAAGTTTATTTTTCTTTTAACTTTTGTCGTTATTCTCGCGAGAACGTGGCTTTAGCGTTTGTGTACGAAGCGATGCATTGTGGGTCAAAATTACTGCGGAAAAAAATTCTATGGAATGAATGTGCAGTAGTCCGAATTTTCTCTTCGCCCAGGCGTTGTCGTTAGAGCTCGCTGCAATCTCTATTAGAACTAAAAGGCTTCCACTGTCTGTCTGTTTCTGTCTGTCTTTTAGTTTATCCCATTTGGTTTTCCGCACTTTAATTCTAAATGCGTTCATAGATGTGAGTGTATTTAATGAGCTGCAGATCAAGTTAGCATTTCGTTCCGCTTCGACGATTTTTGACGTAATAAACTAATAATAGCCTTTTAAATGGAATTTCTGCATTTTAGCTCACCTGAGCTGAACGATGAAGTAATCTTTTCTCTGCCAACCTCTTGTCCTTCATCAGTGTGCGTCTGCCCATTTATAAACGTTTTTACACATTTTATTCTCAAGACCCACTGCATAGGCCCTAATTGGCCATTTTTAACCAAGACAATACTAAATAAAGATGGAGTCATTAAAAAATCTCTCAAGAACTAATTTACCAGAGATGCAAAATTTATATGGACACTTCCTTAGAAAGACTTGTCAATGTTTAGTTTTAAATTTTTTCGAAATCTTTTTTTCAAGGCTCATCAAGCCTACATACCTGAAACATACACAGTATGTGGGAACCCTATTAGCAGGGCCGTCACTGCCCTCAAATTCGGACCTAATATCGGACCCATTCCCAATGGCACAAAGTGCTAGATTTTCCCAATTTCATACTTAAAAATTCCCAAAAACGTGTTTTCTTGTTTATATAGCCTAATTTTTCCACACATGAAAGCTGACATGAACTCTTAAAAATGCATCATTTTTTCATCTTTGTACGACTTACTACATTCCTGTACGCCTTTGTCCGCCATATTTCTTCAATTCCGCCATATTTACTTGAAAATTTTTGGCCACCTGTACCTGTTATATAAAGCCTGGTGCATTTGTTTCACTTGAGTGATTTTCTAGCCTGGCTGTCGACATGTACACATCTCCGATAGCATAGTTGTCATAAATCCATAAACTGACCAAATACATGATTTAAAAGTTAACAAAAACTAGAACTATACTGAGAAGTAAATTATTTTTGAATGCATTTGCTGCAATTTAGAAAAAAATAACACGAAAAACAGCAAAAACCGTTTGGATATGCACGCATGCAGGTCGAGAATACGCATCGAACGCAATGATAAGGATATTTACCTGAATACTGCTATCGTTACAGGGATGTGCACATGTCGAAAGAAATATCCTATTTTACTTTTATTGAAATATGCATCTCAGAATTCATGTAATCCATTGCTAACTGAACAGTAAAAATTGTCACCACATAGCACTTGGACACACGTGGTCCACGACGATAGTCTATTTGGTCAGGGGAAATTTCAAAGGTGGAAAGCTTACTGGTATTTTGGTTGACTGAAAAAGTGCAATTTTTTTTCAAAAATGAATATTACTCTTGTCTGTATATGTAAATGTAAACAAAATTTTTAGACATGGCTTAATTACATTAAATTTATTTTATAGCATGCAACATTACGAATCATTCATCCTTTGACGAGATTCTCCCGTTAAAAGGGGGGGGGGGGTTGGGGTAAAAAAAAAATGCATAACGCTCTCTGAAAAAGATCGGATTTTTTAACGATCAAATATTTTCATTATAAATAATGTGTATTGGCTTTATTTATTTATTTATTTATTTTAAATAAAGACCTTATATAACTTGATTTAAACTTATTTTCATAATTTTATATACAATAAACGAGTTTGATTCTATGGTACATGAATAATCAAAAATAGAATTCATTGGCGGATCCAGAGGTGGAGTGGGGTTCCACGGATTGGAACCCCCGGCCTTTATTTTTGTACACACATACAGAGACAGAGAGAGAGAGAGAGAGAGAGAGAGAATGTTTTTTTCTGTAATATAGAGTACAGATATTTATACGTCTAATAATATGAATAATTTGAAGAAATAAAAAAAATCTCTGTCCTTTCAGTTCTCTAGATCTGTAGATTTTCGCAGATTTGCTTTCCTCCGCGTACCTTCAATCATTTTTCAATCAACTATTTGAATCTCTTCACCATTTTACAAAAATCACAAAATATATAGGTGATTTTATACATAACAGTAGATCTATAAAGCATGCGTGAATAAGAAACTAAACCAAAAAATTGTACGTTGCTATAAATGTGAAGTATGGGAATTTAGGCGGGGGCATATTTTATTTTTTTTTCTTTATAAACGAGCAATATTTTCTCAGGAAACAGTGTTTATTGTTATTCATAATGTGTTTAAAATTAATCACATTCTGAAATTTTATGCTTTTTTTCTGTTAAGCATAGCATTCTTTCTGAAAGTAGCGAGCTGCACTTTAGTATGTAATGAAATTCACCTCTGAGTTCTTTTAAATTACAATGGGGACAAATTCTATTTTGTCTTGGTAACCCTGTCTAAGGGCTTCGACCACCCACAAGTAACATGCAAGGAAGATTCCAGCGAACTTTTTTTTTACCATTTTTGAACCATTTTCAGAAGTAACTAACTTTAAGAAGTATGCATGAAATATTTCGATTCGGTAAAGATAAAGGTTTAAAATGTTCCCGTAGTATGCAGATGGGCAGATGGAGGGGGGGGGCTCACTTTTTCTGAGAATAATCTTTGCTGCAGTTTTAAATAAATTAAAATTTTGATTTGGAAGCTCCCTCCACATTTTTTGTTTGCAGGAAAATACGCAGATTCAAGCATTCAAAAGTAATGTACTGAACAGAAAAGTTACAGGAAGCCTCCTTTATCCCCTACCAAAAAAGGATTGTATAGAGTGTGGTGCTTAGGTTTTTTTGTTTTGTTTTTTGTGTTTGTTTTGTTTTTTGTTTTTTGTTTTTTTTTTTGCTTGTCAACTGATGTTGGAGGTCCCCCATCAATATAAATTGAAGTGGCTGTGTTGTGATTCTATGCATGAGTGCCATGCGCGGATCTAGAGGGGATTAGCCCCCCCCCCCCTACCCTGGGATTTGCAAGGTTATTAAATTTATTTACTAAAGCAAGAAAAAAAGTTACGTAGAAACCCCCTCGGAAAACGCAGACTCCCTGGTAAACGCGAATTTGTGTTAAATTGGTATGAAAAGGCTAAGGTTTGAAGCATTCGAAGTCGTCGGCTACCCCCCCCCCCCCCCCCCCCCCCCCCTCACCGAAATAGGTTTTGAAGTTTGGGCGAGTTTACGGGGGTCTTTTTTTGCATGTCAAGAAATATCTGGGTTGGATATAAATTATTAATAGTCGAAGCATATAGGAAGGGAAAGCAAACTGCCGATGAGAGTTCCACATTCTACCAAAAATTAGCTTTTTTATACCTCTTGTCTAAATAATTTTTGTCCAGATTCCTTACCTGAGAAGGTACATGCATTTGAGAAAGTTCCCAATGTTCCCATTCCTATGATGTAGACTTCACGTTTACATGTATTTTCCTTTCAATTTCGGCGTTTAGGTTTATTTTCTTGTCAAAAGTAAAATTATTATTTTAATTTTTGAACAAGTTTCGACATCCCCGCCTGACAAAAAAAAAATCTTTGATCTGTCCCAAGATCTAATAAATGGTACAGCACAAAATAGATATGACTTTATATCTATTATTGCGCTTACAGATGGTTACAGGAGGAGAGAAAGCGAGAGAGTTCAATGAATAAAAGAGTAATTAAAAATTATCTGTATTCCACCAGGTTTCAAGTTTCCCTACCAAGGTTTTTAAAAGTATCTCCCAAATATTGCAACAG